GAGGAGAAGGGGGTGACAGAGGACGAGATGGTTGGACAATGTCATCGAAGCTACCAACATGAATTTGACCCAACTCCGGGAGGCAGTGGAAGTTAGGAGGACCTGGTGTGCTCTGGTCCATGGGGTCACGAAGAGTCGGACACGACTAAACAACTAAACAGCGACGATATAGTTATAGTCTAAAATAAAATCAGTGTTGAAATTTATTTATTTTATTTATTTATTAGATTTTTACCCCGCCCCTCTAGACAATGTCTACTCGGGACGGCTTACATAGATAAAAACACATCAATATAACATATATAAAATCATAAAGAATACAATTATAGCGATTAATTCCAAAGGATCAATTTCTGCATGAAGAATTTTTTAATAATGCATGTCTATGTCAAGTTTAGCAGGTGTCAGCTGATTAATCTCTGTAAGGAAGGTAGATCCCACAAGCCTGAAGTCAGCCAACCCCTGTCATGAAGCACTACTATACAAGGAAACTTTAAAAGTGTCATGATTACATTGCAACACTAGGTGGCAATGCCTGATTACAATTAACAACATAACAACATTGACAGGGAATCCACTTCCTTCAGCCTTGGTCAGACGAATGGGAAATACGGATGTTGTCTGTTCTAGTTCCTATCTTATACCATACATTTTTAACTAAAAGGGCTAAAGAAATGAAAGCAATTTGCAGCTTGGGAGATGAGCTTCTCACATATTTTGAAGAAAACACATTTTGAATCACAAGAAATGAACTGGAATTGGGGGTCAGTTTCCCTCTCCTGTTTTAAATTGTTCTCTAAAATTCAAGCACTCTGAGGAATCTAATGTTCTATAATGCCAAAAGGTGCCCAGATACACAATGCCAGAGGAGAGATATTGGGTCAAGGTATTATTAATACAGTGAGGAAACAGGACACAGACACAGATGTACAAAATCCCTTCAACTCCCACTGAGCACCTAGGTTTTCTGTTTATCTTTATTCCTCAAAGTAATTAGACACAAGTAAGAGAGGCCCTGCCATTAAAGAGAGTAACATATGTGGGCTTGTCCACATGGGTTTCTTTAAAACAGGCTAATGTAGGCTAAACAGGCTGATGCAGGCTAAATAGGGTAATTTGGGGATAGGGTAGAAGTCTGGAACGTCATTTGGTGCGATCTCTGGTTCCAAATGACACACTCAGGTCAAGCAACCCTATTTGTTTTGTTTCCTGAAAAAAATTAAAAATCTCTATCCTTGCCCTCTCCTCACTCCTCCTGTTTCTAGGAGGAAGTTTTCAATTTTTTTTACAAAGTGACACAGAACATCAGCACTGTCATAATACAGTTTAAACACCCCTTTACTTTCTCTGTCTCTCCACAGAGAAGTAGAGGAAGTGTTTAATTTCCAAATTTTATGAAGTGGCTGAGCTCTCTCTTCTTAAACCACTTTATGATACCGACAAATTGACAGCAGAAAACAATTTGACATCTGTAAGACAGACTTTGGTTCATTTCCAGCAATCACATGCACTAGAAATGAACCAAAAGAGAGCAAACCAAACCGCACCAAAATAGTAGAAGCCTCTGAAAGAGACTCAGAAAGGTGCAGAGAGGGATGTTCTGGGGACAGGCTGGTTTTCAGTATCAATTACATTGTGTGATCACCGGAAATAGAAGCAAGATCATAACCACAGGCTGATCATACAATGGGCTAAACTGAGTAACCTCAGTCAATGGATTTTCACAAAATGGCATCAAAATCTAGTTTATTTTAATTTTTGGTTGTTGTTGCCAGGAAAAAAAACAACACTTGTGAGACTTTTCTGCCCTGGACACAAAAATAACTTGGCTAGCTTTGACTTCACCTGCCAACACAACTTGATACTGATGGTGGAGGGTGGCAGCATTTTATAATAATATATAATATAATCTTAGAACTGCAGAGCTAGAAGGGACCCTACGAATCATTGAGTCCAACCCCTATTAGGGAGGCACAGTGGGGAATCAAACTCCCAATCTCTCCTAATCCACTGAGCTATCCAGTAGTTCTGGATGTTCTATCTATTCATTTCAGGTAGATCTGATGTCCAAGCATCTGTAACTGTATTTGCTACTATGGTCTCCCTCCTTCCTTTGCACAAACTGCTTTCATTGCTCCAAATGTCTTTCTGCTACAGATAGATAACAGGTCTTTGATGAATGACCTGCTACCAAGGATGATACTTCCTACCATCTATATAGTATATATTTCTTAAGCTTGTTTCAAAACTGTGTTTCTAATTGCTTTAAAGAAGGCTTTTGATTTAATTCTGTTCTAAATAGCTGATACTGTATTTGTTTTGTAGTTTCATTGCATTCTTTACTATGGGCCACCCTGAATTCCATTTTTTGGAGAAAACCAAAGCTGGTGGACAGTCCTCAGATTATGTCACTCCAATATTGAAAGACCTACATTGGTTGCTAGTAGCCTTTTTACTCCAATTCAAGGTGTTGGTTTTAACCTTAGAAGCCCCCAGTGGCTTGGGACCAGCCTATCTAAAGGACTGACATCTTACTATGAGGAGGACGGGCTTGGCTGCCATCTTGAAAACACCTAGATTAAAGAACTGGGGTGAAAAAAAATAAGAGGAACATGATACTTGGGAGTCTACTATCAACCACCCAATGAAAAAGATGCAGATGAAACCTCTGAAAAAGAAATTGCAAACATTTCAAAGAAATATGATTTAGTAGTAATGGGAGACTTCAATTACGCTGGTGTCAGTAGGCAAATTCTGCCAAGCATGGCTTTTGCAAGAAACCTCTGGCTTGTGTATATAATGATTTTATCCTACAAATTTGTCCACTTGTGATATCAGGTGGTATGAAGAGTTATACATGCTGAAATCCTGTCTCCTGGGCATCTACTTACAAAAACAGATCTTTTCTCTGTTGTTTCTAACCACTCTAACAGGAGATGTCCCCCTCTAAATATTCCTTAGTGCCCTTCATACCAGTAGTGAGTTAATTCTCAAACCAACAATGAGCTAATCACTTGCAAACAATAGGGAGCTACTGGAACACATCTGTGACTTCCATGGTTTGCAAAAGTACAACTGCAAAATGTTGTTACATGTTGTCAAGTCACTTCCGAATTATGACAACCCAATCAATAACTGACCTCCAAAACAACCTGTCCTCAACAGCCCACTCAGTTCTTGAAAAGTCAAGGCTTTAGGGAGTAAAACCTCTTTCCCTGCTGCCTGCAAATTTTCCCAGGATTATTGTCTTTTCCAAGGAATCCTGTGTTCCCATCATGTGCTCAAAGCAGGACAACCTCAGTTCTGTCATGTTTTTGCCTCTGGAGAAAGTTCGGGCTTGACTTACTCTAGAACCCACAACTGCAAAACACTTTAGGACAAGAAGCTCAGGGGAAAATCCCAACCCAGATCAATGAGCACTGTGGATACTCAGGAATCCCCGAGTACTGAAGGATGGCTGGAAAACTAGGAGGAGAATGGAATGGAATACTCATCAAAAGAGAACGGCTATCTTGTTTGGAATCCTGCACAGGAGCATTTCATGCTACAATACATGGTTGCTGATCACACCTGCAGCTTCACCTAAGAACACCAGGGAAGTACATTTCTCCACCAGAAAATGACAGTCATTGATTTCAACAAAGTTGCCATCTTTTCGTCTCCCTCTCTCCCTTAAAAGGAGGACTGGGCCATGACCCAAGAAGATGTAATCTCTCTCAAACTGAGGTTCCCCCCCCTCCATTTGCTGAAATCACGAGCTGCCAGTATTGAACAGAGCCTTTATGTTTGCAGTGTAGCAGAAAACTAACAATTGCTGCTTTCTCAGCATGGAGAGGCGGCAACCTTCCCCTAAGGAATTTATTATACACATGGACATACAATCCAAGAAATCTAGTCCAATCGTGTTTCCTAGATTGGCATTATTTTTACGCTTGACCTGCTTGCTGCAAAGATGCCAGTGTTCTCCTCATGTTAAATCAAATGTGCACGACCCCGTCACAGTATTCTCATTTCCACTTCTGCTTGGGTCCAAAGTCAGCCTTGGGCCAAACCTGACATGAATCAAAGCCTGTACCTAGGAAAGAGAGGGCTTGAAAAAAGAAAACACACACATTACCTCCATTTCCATGGGAACCATGGCTCCTTGTAAGCCATTCTCTTCTCCCACCGGCTGCCAGTTCCTCACCTAATCAGCTCTTCAGAACACCATGCACCCTCTGGCAGTCTCTCTCTCTCTTTCTCGAGACAAGGCCAGCTCTACCAATAAGCAGAGTGCACCAGTCTCCTGGGGTGGCAGGTCATGGGAGGGATGAGGAGTGGCAGAAACCTGCTGCAGGACAGAATTGTGGGTACTACCTGGCCTGTCCCATGCCACCCTCCGGCAAGGTCGGCTGCCACCTAGTGCAGTCGGTGAGCCAGAAGGCACAGCAGCCAACGAGAGTGGAGTCACTAAGTAGCTGAGACAAAAGTGGGTATTTATATATAATGTGTACACAGACAGACAGAGTCATGTTTCCTCTCTCTCGTATAGGCAGGCTCTCAAGTGTTCACGCCTGCCCACTGGAGGAAAGGAGGCTCGGATGAGCGGGGTGGCTGAGGGTAGCCCTCAAGGGAAGCTGTGATAGTCCAGTGTTGAAATATTATTCAGCTGGCCATCTGGCTGACCTCTGTATGGCAAGAAGGGGCAGCATCTCACCCTTCACCCAAAGCAACAAAACATCTTGGTCAAGCGATGTCTCCCGAGTATACTCAGCAGGCTGAGTTGACTGTGGGTGAAAAGGCATTTGAGGTCCAATCAAGCCACTCCAGCTACTTCCTCCTTCACAACTTTTCTCATTATGTCTCCTAGTCCTAACTCTTTTGTGGGGAGGGGGGAGGGGAGAGAGAGGGAGCTCCTTCTAGCTGAACCACCATTAATTAGTTTCAGCTGCCACCCCAGAGCTTGCTTCTGCAATTAACTGTTCCAGCTGCTTCTCCCAGAGGTTTAACCGCTTCCTCACCAGGGCAAGACGTACTTCACCATGCCATAAGCCACTGCTTCTTTGGAGTGTCTATACAAAGAGCACTATCGGGAAAGGCGGGGAGCAAGGTCACTCGTTGACCCCAGGCTCATTCATAATGCAAGCCAACAAGCCTTGGCTATTTCCTTACTCACCAACCAGGGATTCACAGTTCAAGACTTTCAATTGTGCCATCAAGGTTGCCCACATTTAAAAAGAAAAAAGAAAAAGAAAAAAAGGAGGACAAGATTCTTCCACCTTTAATGTAGGATAGAAGCCTGCATTTTAGCAGGGGTGACTTGCAAGACAACAAATAAATAATGTACACTGGAGAAACTGAGAAGCTCAAGGGGTTGGAGTACAAGGTTGTGGAGCCAAGGGCCAGGATTTTGAACTCCCACTATTCCTTTCCAGGAGAGGGACCAGACAAGATTGCCTGGAGCATGTGTGGCTGATGGAGTTACTGCCCTGCCACCTCTGCAGACAAGCTGCATGATCCCAAAGAACATCTAAAACCGACTTCTAGTGACTCTAGTAGGGCTGCCAAGGAGTGGTTTTATAGTGCCATCCTCTCTCCCCAGTGCATTTCTACTGACAAGCAAGAATTTGAACCCATGTCTTCCGAGTCCTAGATCCTCTGTCTGCTATGACACACTAGGTATACACAGTCCATCTAGAACAGTGGTTCCCAACCTTGGGTTCCCAGATGATCTTGGCTTAGAACTCCCAGAAGCTTTCACTGCTAACTGCTTAGCCAGGATTTCTGGGAGTTGCAGAAGGAGAGATTGGCAAACCACTTCTGAGTACCTTGTATCTGAAATACCCTGTGATGGTTGTCCTGCATCAGAATCTGTATGGTGGCACAAAATTATAACTATTGCTATGGAAGAAGCCACTTTCTGGTGTTTCCTAGTATGTATGAAGGACAGCCTTGTAAATCCTGAATGGAAAGAAAAAAATGCACATACTTGATAATGTGGGGGTGGGGGAGACGAATAAAGACTGAAATCCTGTTGTGCAGCTATGAGTGCATAATTTGAAGCTGTGGAAGTAGCAGGAAAAAACATGAAAGAGCAGAAGTAACATCCATGAAGGATTTCCGCAGATGTGTCACACAACAGTCCCAATGTGAACACTGCAATTGTGTGATCAATCATGACCACAGTGTGAACTATGCAACTGTGATGTGTGAACTGCACGATTGCTTGTGCAATGCTGACTGCCTGGGCATAAGGTCTTTTGCAGGTGTTTGCTCTCTCTCAAATCAAATTTCAACCACTGTATGCATATTTAGTTCTTCATGTGCCCAACAAGAGAGTCTGTGCTTTGCAAATATAAAGCTCCAGGCATTGTTCTTGCTCACAGCAAAGCCAACCCTGTCTGCAATCAAGTTACAGTCTTAAATCAGGCTCTAAAGGGTGACATTCCTTACATCCCTTTCAAAAAGAAAAATTATGTACCAACTAATAACTGAGAGCAGATCTCCCAAGTTGTCAGTGGAAGATCCAGTAGGAACCTCACAATTTTTAAAAACTTACTGGAGTTTCTTCTGAGGGTACTGATTTCAGTCCTACAAATGTCTTAAACACTTGGAAATTAGTATTAAGAAGAAAATATACTTTGCATGGAAAAATCTCAAATTAAGTTCTGACAACTTGAGTGAACAGGATGAGACACCTAGTAATCAGACTTCCCTGTTTGTTCCCAAGGCCCTGGAGGCTCACTCCCTGACCAAGTAGAAATCATTGGGTTAGATGAACCAATAATCTGATATTACAGAAGGCAACTTCCCACGTTCAACATGTATTCAGATAATGACTTAAGGCAAGTGCTCCCTCTTTGGGGATTTTTCTTCTCCCTGAGGTAATCACGACTAACTTCAATTTATAGTTCAATTTCCTTTTGCCTCCCCCTGACACATATCTATTTTCCCTCAAATCACACCAGTTTTTCCCCTTTAAGGCCGTGGAAGAACAGGCTCATGTTGCTTCCTACTTATCACTGAATAGCTATCAGATTTGCTACCTATGGTTTAGATATGGTGAAGACAGGCACCATGGAAGGCAACCAATACACTGTTTTGGTACCTTGGAGGTCAAGAATCTGCATATAGACACCTCAGTAATCTCTGAAGTATTATCAATGATCTCAGAATGTTCTGGTGATTCATTGAGAGAACATTTCTGGATACTGGCCTTGTTATAGAATGATAGAGGCGCCACTGGATACTTTACATACGTTCACACACGAGCAGCAAACCTTGGCTCACCTAGCAAGAAAACGGGGCCTATCTCAGCTTGGTGAGCAGAAACCTTGCATGATACAGATGTTTATAGAGGTGACTTTGTCATGTTATACTTCACCTATTTTAAGTGTATCCTTAAGATGTCTTAGATGCTGCACCTCCAAAATGTAATATCTGCATCATCCCTTCCAATTCAAGTCATCTGAATCTTGTGGAGCCCCCCGCTCTTCCTCCCCTCACATCTGAAACAACAGATGAGAACAGCAGGCCAGCATCAAGCCACAATTATTGTTGGGTGTTGACAGGAATAAATGAAAAGAATGAGGGAGAGTTGTGAAGAGGGTCACTTTAGTGGTCCTTTCATTCCCCCCCTCCTCTGAGTAGGAAGTTAGAAAAGCAGGGTCCTCAAAGCGGTATTGAAAAAAAGGCAGGGACAAACCCCTCCCCGAGCACAAAACACAGTGTTTTAATTATCTGTCCACAATTACTCCTTTCAGGGTGGAACATATGGTAGATGGTTTGCTTAAGAAAGAAAACAAAAATACTTTAGAAACTTAAATGATGTTGGAAAAATAGTGGAAATAGCTTTAAAGGGATGGCAGGATGGGGGCAGGGAGGGAGGCGACACACTCAGTACACATTTCCTGCAGGAGTCAGCTGGGGCTTGGTTTTCTTCAACAGCAGTGCTCCCACCACATGCTGCCAATATACATTGGGGAGAGTATTCTGAGTTTACCAAGAGACAATTATGGGAGCACCTCCTCACTGAAGCAGCTCCCAGATGTATCCATGAATAAGATCCAAATATCTTTGTGTTCATGAATATGTCACAGATCCTATTGCAAGTAATTGCAGAGACATGAGACAAGTGCATTGGGGCAAGCTCCTGTTGAGTCACAGCAACAGGGTGGAAATGCAGACTGACAGCCCCAGTCATTTAAGCCTTCTTCCCTTGCACTTATGCTCTGTTTGGTTCCACCACATTAAAAAAAATCTGCTTAATTCATCTTTGGCTGAACTCCCAAGAATGAGGACAAAAAAAGTGGTCAATATTTCAACAGAGACAATGCTTTTTCAAAGAGTGTGCATTTCCATTTGAGATTATTTGCTTTATCTACACATCTGGAAAGGGAGGCAAATGGATTGGATACCTTTGGCCTATTTGTAAGAACACTGTGTACATTTGCCAAAGTTCCAGCATAAAGAAAACCCAACAGAGTTTGTGCCTCAAATAACTGTTCTATCTGCAGAGAATAGGGAAGATGAAGCTTTCACAACATGGAGATCAGCGCTGCTAGCTGCAGCTTATCAAGACAACATAGCTACAGAGGCTAACCAAAAAGCTGGCTATACTTCTAATACCACTAGAGGTTCTACGCTACAACTTTTCTCTTCCCTTTGCTTCCGACACTTCTGCTCACTCAGCAGACCAGACAAAGAATCACACTGAGAAAATAAACAGCATGTGGTTGGTTCAACAGAATTAGTCATATACTGCCTGTACATTTTGAGAAACAGGGATGCCAAATCTCATCTCTGCTTACAAGCCTTGTTTCACTATCTCATTCCAAGCCAAATGTATAAATCCTGTATTCCTGTGCACTTTCATCTACACGTGAAGCCATGGGGACTGTTTTTTAGTAAACACATACAGGATCAGTCTGCACAAATTTGTGTGTGACGAAGAGAGATGAGAAAGCATTCTGCACGAATAACTCAGAAGTGATGTTTATACAGCACTGAAAGTGGGCCACATGAATGAATCTTGGCTGAAACTACACCCCTTCACATGTCCCTCTGCATAGTCTGACCACTGGAGAAAATATTGAATGGATTCTGTTGCACGCACTCCCAACTCTCACTCAGACTGACAAAAAAGAAAGAAACGAACAAGAGTTTGGAGCGTCTAGGCTGGCTGACCCCATTAAAGTTCTGAATGGTCCGAGAATAAACTACGTTGGGGCCATCTCCATATGAATCTACTGGTGTTTTAAGATCACTGAATACAGATACAGCTGTCTTATGTCTTTGCATGGATGAACCGTGAGCCAAGCTGAGGGAGAAGACAAACAGCAAGCAAGGAATGCTACCTAATCATTGCAAATGTGCATGACCCTGCCTGATTTTGGAAGCTAAGCAGAGTAAGGCCTGGTTGACACTCATACTGAAGACCACCAAATGATGCCAGGGAGGGTTAGGGAAAGATTTCTACCTGAAGCCTGGAAGAGACAAGCTGAAAAAATTGGGCTAGATAGACCGATAGTTTGACTCATGTCAGGCTGCTTCCTATGTAGTCAGGCCTTCTATTTTAGAGTTGATAGTTATGTGCAAGATGTTGGGGTGTGTGTATGGTTGCATTGTCTGTGTGGAGCTGCTTGCTTCAAGAACTCAGATTATCTTCCCCACTGCTGCTGCTTCACCTACTATTTATATTTTGGCAAGCAATTAATTCAGCATTTGTTTGTGTTACTATTTGTTACTGGTCTCTTTGAAGGGTTCCCCCCCCCAATGTGGATATTAATTTCATGTGGGCTTTTCCTCATAATTTTATTCATGTAGATTATTGTTGCCCTTTACTTATGATGTCACATTCTGGATTTTGTTAGTTGCTTTGAATGGCTATTTATTCAGTCCTGGACTGGCACATTTCTCTGGATAACAAATATTTATTGTTTACTAATTAGTTACATTTCTATCCCTCCTTTTCTTCAATGAGCTCAAGGCAATGTATGTTTTCACACCCACACCTGCTTCATCTTCACAAAACTCTGAGAGATA